AATAGTGTATGTCTTTGTACTTGGGCAAACACTTGTGAATATATTTCAAATTGAATTTCTTTGAGCTACCTTCACAGAAGTCATTTACTTAGAAGACAACTGGGTAATGAAACAAACTGCTGTGGGTGGAGGAGAAGTGTCGAAATTTACAGGAAGTAATTTATCAGCCTAGGGGGGTATCAGGATATAGTGATGACTGGACTAGTTCTCCAAACGATTTCCTAATAACAACTTCAAAGGAAACTATGGTAAATGTGAAACTAGCTTGCATTTGAAATCTTGTGTAGACTACTCCAGGGCAACATTTTCTCTCTTTTTTAAAGATTAATTTTATTTATTTGAAAGGCAGAGTCACAGACAGGCAGAGAGAAAGAGAGAGAGGTCTTCCATCTGCTGGTTCACTCCCCAAATGGTTGCAATGGCCGGGGTTGAGTCAGGCAGAAGCCAGGAGCCAGGAGTTTCCTCCAAGTCTCCCATGTGGATAGCAGGGACCCAAGTACTTGGGCCATCTTCCACTGCTTTCCCAAGCGAACTAGAGGGAGCTGGATTGAAAGTGGAGCAGCCGGGATTCGAACTGGGGCTCATATGGGATGCTGGTGCTGCAGGCTGGGGCTTTAATCCTCTGAGTCACAGTGCTGGCCCCAACAACATTTTCTAAAGAGTCAGAAATCAAGCTATAAATGATACTGCAGATGCTGTCTAGCACATCTAGACACATTTCGCTGTGTCACGGTCAAAACTGGTAAGCTCTTTGGAAGAGGGTGGGAAGAGGCAAGATCTCTCTGCTACATAGGAGAATGAATTTGTACCCAGAACATTCAAAAACATCCAAGAAGTTTACTGAAAAACAGGTAGAAATACAAAAGGAGAGCCTAAGGGAGACTTACAGCCCAAAGCAACAGACATGAGTGATTTTTGAGATGAATACAAAAACTCTGGAAGCAAATGAAAGAATATTTATGTCAACTGGCATCCTTTCCACGTCCAAAGCTGAACCCACACATAAACATGAGTAACATGCAAGTTATGAAATACGAATTTTATATGCCAGAATTGCTGGAGCAGTTGCAGATATTATTTTTAAAAATCCGATGCTGTAACATCACCGAAACACAAAGCTGAGTCACAAAACCACACTTGACACATGGATCCTTTTAAAGCCTCTCACTATCAGAATAGGCCAATTAATCTATTTTAACAATTATTTATTTATTTGAGATGGTGGTGGGGCGTGAGGAGAGGGAAAGAGAGAGACAGCACATGCCCATCCACTGGTTCATTCCCCAAATGCCCTCAAAGGCCTGAGCTAGGTCAAGCTGAAGTGGGAGTCAGGGACTTAATCCAGTTCTCCCGCGTGCATGCAAGGAACTGTCACCAGCTGCCTTCCAGCGGGCACTTGAGCAAGAAGCTGAAATTGAGAGTGAAGCCGGGACTCAAACCTAGGCACTCTGAAATGGGATAGGAGCTTGCCTAGTTGCATCCTAACTGCTGCACCAAACACCAGTTCCCTGGGGATTGTTGAAACTTCCCAAGGAGGGCCAACGCTGTGGCATAGCAGGTAAAGCAGCCACGTGCAGTGCCGGCATCCCATATGGGCACCAGTTAGAGTTCCGGCTGCTCTGCTTTTGATCCAGCTCTCTGTTATGGCCTGGGAAAGCAGTAGAAGATGGTCCAAGTCCTTGGGCCCTTGCACCTGCTTGGGAGACCCGGAGGAAGCTCCTGGCTCCTGACTTCGGATCAGCCCAGCTCTAGCTGTTGTGGCCATCTGGGGAGTGAACCAGCAGATCGAAGACCTCTCACTCTCTGCCTCTCTGTAACTCTGCCTTTCAAATAAATAAGTGTTTAAAATAATAAACAAAATCTTCCCAGGAAGAGACTGTGTAGCTGTCAGACACTAAAACATGTTCTTCTCCTCTGGACTGTAGCAACATATATATGTGCATATAAAAATAAAGCTGGAAAGCAAAGAGGACTTTGGAATCCCCTAACATTGTTGGGGTATTTCAGCGGCATCCTATTAGATGTTGGAACAGCTCAAATAGGAGGGCTTTTTTTTGTATTTAATGTTCCTTTTCCCCCAGAAGAATAAAGAAGTGCATTTATAACAGTAAATAAATTGGCATTGTTCATATTGAACAGACAGGATGTCTGAACCATATGCATGAATGATTTCAGAATGACGAAGTAAGCAAATTACATATACAGTGTGTGCACTTTCAGAACAGAATGCTCAGAAGGTCCTAAAGCACATGCAGATATTAGAACAACAACAACAACAAAAAAGATAAAGGAGGCTGTAGCTGGTGATGGTGAAGCTTGAATCTTTTTTGCATCTAAAATAATCTGGGGGAGGAAGCCCCCCACCCTGTGCTGTGACGCAGTAGGCTAAGCCTCTGCCTGTGGCACCGGTATCCCATATGGGTGCCAGTTCTAATCCCGGCTGCTCCACTTCCAATCCAGCTCCCTGCTGATGGCCTGGGAAAGCAGTGGAAGATGGCCCAAGTCCCTGGGCCCCTGCACTTGTGTTGGGGACCTGGAGGGAGCTCCTGGCTCCTGCCTTTGGATCGGCCTAACTCTGGCCATTGCAGCCATCTGGGGAGTGAACCAGAGGATGGAAGATCTTGCTCTCTTTCTCTCTGTCTCTCCCTCTCTCTTTCTGTAAATCTGCCTCTCAAATAAATAAATAAAAGCTTTGAAACAAAAAAATATATAGACTTTGGGGCTCTCCTGTTCTCCCCATTGTATGAGTGGGCCTGATTTCTTTCCTCACCATGTCTTCTCATGAGACTTTCAGGATCTCAAGATTACTGGCCAGAGAATAAAAGAAACAGTCCCCCATTTCCCAACGGATTTGTATGAAAACCGGCAACCATTATCAGGTTGAAGAGGAGGTGTTGGAGAAGGAACAAGCCAGGCCTCTAAGGAAGTGCACAGGGGCTGTATTGAGATTACTATCATCTCACTGTATCAACCTGAAAAGTTCACCCTCTCTGGACGCTTGATCAAGTCTTACTAGAGATATGATTTTCTTTCTCTTTGTTTCTAGGTTTTGCACTAGTAGGTTGGTTCAGCAATAAATATCTGAAATGTTTTGGTGGAAAAAAAAAATAGGATCAGACATTTAGTCTGGCTGTTAAAATGCCTGTTAAGATGCCCCCATCACACAGTACCTGGGTTTGAACACCAGTCCCAACTCTTGAGTCCAGCTTCCTGTTAACTGTACCCTGGGGGGCAGTGGTGACAGCTCAAGTTTGTGGGTTCTTGCCACCTTAGGGGGAAACCTGGATTGAGTTCCTGGCTCCTAGCTTTGGCCCTGGCCCTGCCCCAGCTGTTTCAAGCATTTGGATAGTAAATCAGCTGGCTTCCTCATGTTCTCCCTCTCCCTCTTATAGGATGTATTTCTCTTTGTCTCTCTGCCCCTCAAATAAATAAGTAATATAACACGATACTTTGGGTTCCTTTGTGTGTGAAATGAGTCCATCCATCCCTAATGCAACAAAGAGAAACCTATGCACACAGAAGATATAGATCAGAGTCTGTCTGGGGAGATTCAACTGGGCACACTTTTAGAGGTGGTTGGCACACACTCAGTTAGACAGAAGGTAACACCACAGTGCAAAGTCATGAAGAGGATGAACAGTGATCCATCCTGCCCTGGTTGTGAGCTTCTCTGACTGTTCAGTAACGGGACTGACCTGAGAGCATGGCTCAGGTAAATGAGTCTGGTTTGCTGTTCGCTGTTCTAGGTCGTGTGGTTGTGTGGTTGGGACATGCTCACCCACTCCTGGGCTGGAGAGAGTTAAGTGAGTCACCTTGCTGAGTCATGCTAAGCTTGCTGGGCGTGTAGCATTAACGCTTTAATTAAAGTGCCCTTAGGAGGATTTCACAGCAGTGACCCACCCTCTCCATTCTTTGCTCTGTGTGTTAAGTGTCAGTGACACAGGACAGGGTTCCACACAGGATGTTATAAATATGAGCCAGCCTTGACTAGATTCTTGTTTATATTGTTAAAATTGTATTTTGTTTTCAATTAAGAGAAGGGGAACCCAATCACTTCTTGTCGATTTCCAGAGGAAAAGGCATTTTCCTAATTTTTCATTCTGTGCAAGAGCAAGGAATGGGAGAGAACAAAGGCCAAGGCTGTTTGTGAACATGTCGCCCGCATTACCGCCAGGTGTAGGAAAGGAGCAGTGTCTGTCTTTGAACAAGTTCTACTCTGTCAGAAAGTCGAAGTACAAGAAAGTCCTAACAATTATACAAACCTAGTAGGGGTACTATAGGTAATGGCCACATAATATATATTTCTCTAAAAAACAAAAGCAAAGTAGAAGAAAGGGTGTTGAATATTTTCACCATAAAGAAACATTAAATGTTGGAAGAGATAAATGTTTACCTTGATTGTCTACCACTTATGGTGTACAGGTACATGCATGCCAAAAATATGCACAACTTTTATATGTCAGCTAAAAATAAAATAAAACTCAGTCCATTTATAAAAAGAAGAAATCCATGGTTTTATAAAAAAGACCTTGAACTTGTGCAGATTTTTCGAGTTGCCCACTTTTACACTGGTAATTTCATTTGTGCCTCAACAGTTTCTTGTTGAGTCAGGATTTTTTTTTTCTCTTTAGATGTGCTGATTTCTTTTAAAATGTGAATGCACCGTAATATATGTATAAGTGATTTTATCATACACGTCATTTTCATCTTTCCCCACTGTTTATAGGAAATCTACATAGGAAACTTTCTAACAGAGGTCATCTACCCACACACCCTCTCCTACCGGAAGATAGAATGTGTTCTAGAGAAAGTAGTGGCTCATACCTTATTTTAATGTTTCTAAAACAGGAAGCAGACTGAGCAGCAGGGGAAAGGGGAAGCTAATTCCTTCCCCTTTCATTTTCTCTGGGGCTGTGATGCGAAGCATGGGGGTAAAATTTTTGCAGCTCAATCACCTTGAAGAGAACATAGAATTCAAGGTATCAGAGATCAGGGTTAAAGAAAACTTTCTATGTGCTCTTTTTTAAAAATAAATTATTATTTTCTTCTCTTTAAAAAAGATGCATTTATTTTTTCTTTGGAGGCAGAGTTACAGAGAGAGGGAGAAAGAGAGAGAGATCTTTCATCCATATCAGATGGAAGCCAGGAGGCAGGAATTTCTTCCAGATCTCCCACGTGGGTGCAGGGACCTCAGCACTTGGGCCATCTTCTGCTACTTTCACAGGTACATCAGCAGGGATCTGGATCGGAAGTGGAGCAGCCGGGTCTCAGAACCAGAGCCTAAATTGGATGCCGGCGTCACATGCAGCAGCAGTTTTATCCACTACCCCACAGCACTGGTCCCTTTCTATATATTCTTAAAGATAGTGCTCAACATAGGAACATTATTGTGTGTGCTAAGTGAGGTGGGACAAGGCTGCTTTATTTTTTCCATTGTGTCACAGTTTTTAGAAGTTACTCCTTATCCACAAATCCCCCCTCGGGTTTTGGGCAGCTTGTCTAATAGAGAAACTGGCATGTCCATTCATTCTGTGAGCTATTGTAGGACCCCAAAAGCGGTGTCCTCTTGTGACGACCCCAGAAACACAGACTCCGGACCAGACGATGCAATAGAACAGGAGGTAATTTATTTCATTTGTACAAATGGGCCCTCTACTGCTGCAAGCAGCAAGCAAGCGAGAGGAGCCCCGAGCAGCTATCTCACACAGCTTTTAAAGGGCAAAACCACAAAATTAACATATTATAGGCTGGTGTAAGTTCATTGGATAATTTTCAGTAGCGGGCCTTGTATGGCAGTCTAAAAGTGGTAATGTCGGTGGAAAAGTACTAGGTCAAAGGGATACATTAGGGGAGGGGGTTTCTAGGAGAGAGGAATAGGTTGCTACGTGCCTTGCAGCTTTCTTTGTTAACCTTGAGCAAGCGTAGGGAAGGGGCTTATCTACAAGGCAGGTGTTCTGTGTATCTCTGGTTAGTAGCTGACTGCTTTCTCTGTGAACCGGTTTACTCCCCATTTCCCAAGGCCGTCTCTGGAACGGTTTGTCTCAGGAGCCCCATTTTTTTTATGGTGGCTCTTGGCTCCTTTCATTCCCCCATTTTCTCTTTGAACTAATTTTAATCCTAAAATTGTGTGCCGTTAATGAGGGGTTTTAATACGGTCACTGGTGGCCAGGGCTTGATAGTGTTGCGTGAGGACTAATGCCAATGATCAGCAAGCCAGGCCTTAGCATGTGGGCCCATGGCCAGCCATGGGTCCCCACATTTCCCCCTTTTTTTATTAAATTGAGAATGGCCTCTGTCTTAGGTTGCCCTCAGTCATCTCTGTCCTTACCCGTCATCGGTAACTCTGGCAGCTTGGCCTAGAGCCCTGTCTTAGGTTGGTACAGGATGCTGAGTGTCTTACCCGTCTTTGAGTACCATTCCAGCCCAACATTAGGTGAGAGATGAAACATACAGCCAAATATCAATTATTTTGATTACAAAGGAGGCTTGGTACGAAGTTTTAAATGATGAATCTCAGTCCATTTATACTATAGGGAAGTCAGCATAAAATGCAGAACACACGGAAGACATCCTATACAAAGTGGGAAAAGCAGTAGCAGTCCAGCCAACATTAATAACCAATGAATCCATTGAAACCCTTCAAATGAATAGTGGGTTAGTAATAAACATATGTTGCATTTTACTCTTAAGTTTATCAATAACAGACTCTATATATGGCACATTGTTAGTAATGTTAAAATAACATCCCCCAGGTACAGATTTATAACTTAAATGATCTTTTTAACAGCAAGTAATTGTTAGCTGCATGGCTTAAAAGCACTCCTGAGTGAACTTGATCCAATTTTTTGGCTATATTGGATAGCACAGTAGCAGTAAGATTGATTGCTTTGGTCACCAAACATGTAAGCCTTCATAGTCCACGATTATTTCCAAAAGCCAGTCCAGGAACACTTACTACTGATGCAGCCATGGCAAGGGCAGTGTCCTCTCCTATTAGGATGACGTTGTTATTGTAGTCTTCAGGTAAAGCACACCACTGACGTGCTCTATCCGCTGCTGTAAATACAGATGTTAGCATCAGGGCCACACGGCCCAGGGAGCAATTGCAGAAAGGCATGTTGGTTACATGGAAAAACCCATCCCTTAGGAGCCCTTGTCCCATACCAGTACTGGATCAGGTCCATTCCATTGATTGGTGATAGGATCCCTCCATTTCACCATTGCTCTTTTTACAGCTGTTTTTAAGCAGTTAGAATTTAACAGAGACATCAAGAGAACATAATAGATTACTTTAACTCATTGCTTTAACAGAGGATCAGATTTTGATTTTATGTCAAAGAAAATAACCAAAGATTTTTTCTTTCCATAACATTTTGCGACTTTTTTACACCTTCTGTAACTTGCTTAAACCTTTCCCCCCCCTTTTTTTTCCAGTATAAACCAGCCATTAAGATAAACAATTTTTACAAATCATATCCTTTTAAAAGTATCTCTTTTTTTTAATTTTTTTTATCAAGAATATGCTTTTATGTTTGTGATCTTTTACATTAAAATGATGGTATCTGGGACTGTAGCAGTCAATGGGAGAGTAACTTTGTTTAATTCCCTGTAATTCACAGTCATTTTTCAGGTTTCATCTGATTTCTTAACATGCCAAATTAGATAATTCCTTTTAGTGATTATGGGAATCATCACTCCAGCACTAAGATAATTTTTTTTACTGTTTTAGATATTTCCTCATATCCACCTGGAATTCTGTATTGTTTACACTGAATAACCTTAGTTGGCCCTGGCAGCAGTACAGGAGCTTGATATAATTTTTTTACCACTACCTAGCAGTTTGACTCCAAAGGGCAGCATTTTTTTTTTTAATTTATATTTATCCTGTACTTATTTTTCTAATTGCTTACACATGCATCAGTATGCAGATAACAAAATCCATTCTCACCTCCCAAAGCCTATAGTTTATCCCCCTTTTCTACCGGCACTGATAGCAAAACCTCAATAACTTGTGGAGGCTGTGCACTCTGTAACTTGCCATCCCAATTCTCACTCGATTCCGAGCAGAGAGCCCATTCCTTCACCAAAGAGGCGAACTGAAGGTCTTTTCAGCCAGGAACATCACAGGTTACACATGCAACTTCAGTTTTTCTTTTAAAGAAAGGCATTGCTTTGCATACTTGCAGATCCTGCCAACTACGCCAATTTGTGACAGTAAATTACTTTTTAGCTGTCTGCTGTGCACAGACTTAGTTACTTTTAATCTGCAAGAAATACGCTGCAAGCCTTGTAGTGCACACTAAAATTATTTAGAGGAAAGATGGTAAAGGAGCATAGATTAACAGAATGTTGCAATAAACATGGCTCTATTGCTTTAATGATACTATAGCAAGATGGTCCACTGATCCCTGTAGGGAGGGCCTGAGGCTGGCCCCGCTTCCAGTTTCCTGAACTCTGTTTTTTAATGAATTACCTTCTTTATCAGTTTTGGAGTGACACTTATTGGCCCAATGTCTTTCCCTTTAGCACTGGAAGCAAATCCCAGGAAGAGCCTTATTTTGATTTTTGACTTCTGGACAATTTTTGTACATGTCCCTGTTGCCCACATTTATAGCACCCTCATTTATCAGGCATAGCCCTCCTTGATGATTTTTGTAATGACATACCAAGCAGAGCGTCAGGTCCTGAATGTCCTGTTATTAATTCATTTTGTTAATTTCTCATTAAAGGGACTGTCACAGAACACCTCAATCACAGTAGCCAATTGATCATGCCCACGTTGTACTTATGTTTTGTAGAATTTACAGTACTGTGGGCATCACTAGGCAATCTTCACACAGCTCCGGAGAAGGATCCATACTGAGAATTAAACATTATTAGTAATCATCACGGGCACATTTAACATTCAGCTTGACTGCGTGTTCCCCCCGAAATGAAACAGCAGCAGCAGAGGCTTGCTCCGGCTCCCCCTTAAAGCCTCCAAGGACAAGGGTGGCTCATTGCCAAGATTTTAGGCAAGCAGTGCGTCCCATCTCGGGTCTTGGCCAGAGAGCCGAGACATGAAGCATGCCCACCTGTTTATCAGAAAACATTCCTTTATCCTCCTCCCCGGGAACTGGCCAGGCTCCCAAGGAGCAGGAGAAGGTCATTCGGCAGCAAAGTTTCTTGGTTACCAGAGCCAAATCTAGGTACAAGCCTCTCCAGCCCAAAAATTTGTCCTTACATTTGGCCCTAGAGTTGCATTGAGAGGTAGACATAATTAACACATTATAAGAATACAATACACATTTTTCATACAAGTATACATCTAGCAATCAAACACAACAATAAAAACAGATGGGGGAGACAGTAAGAGATAAAGGACAACAAAAACAGCGACACACAGAACACAAATCACAAGCTGCGTGGCAACAGACCGAGACAAAACCGAAACTATCAGAAGGGAGCGGCAGTCTGGCCAGGCTCTCCCCTGGAAGAAAGGAAATTCCCTCTTTCCCTCCTTCCCAGACCACCACTGGAACATTCTCCAGGGTTGAACCAGGGGTCTCAGGACACGTCTGAAATCACAAGCCGCGCAGCAACAGACCGAGACAAAACCAAAACCAGAATTTCAGAAGGGAGCGGCCGTTTGGCCAGGCTCTCCCTTTGAAGAAGGGAAACACTCTCTTTCCCTCCTTCCCAGACCACCACTGGAGCGTCCTCCAGGGTTGGACCAGGGGCCTCGCGACACGTCTGTCTTCCCCTTTGGTCCAGCCAGTACTGAGCCTGTACAGGCGCCCCAGGACGGATTCCACGTCGTCCTGGCAGACAAGGACAAACAGTACAAACCACAGTTACAATAATACACAAATAAGCAAACTCACCTCCGTCTGGCCGATGGAGTGTGGGAGTCTGGGGTCCCCCAAATCCCGGACGAGCCCCCATATGTAGGACCCCAAAAGCGGTGTCCTCTTGTGACGACCCCAGAAACACAGACTCCGGACCAGACGATGCAATAGAACAGGAGGTAATTTATTTCATTTGTACAAATGGGCCCTCTACTGCTGCAAGCAGCAAGCAAGCGAGAGGAGCCCCGAGCAGCTATCTCACACAGCTTTTAAAGGGCAAAACCACAAAATTAACATATTATAGGCTGGTGTAAGTTCATTGGATAATTTTCAGTAGCGGGCCTTGTATGGCAGTCTAAAAGTGGTAATGTCGGTGGAAAAGTGTGGAAAAGTACTAGGTCAAAGGGATACATTAGGGGAGGGGGTCTCTAGGGGAGAGGAATAGGTTGCTACGTGCCTTGCAGCTTTCTTTGTTAACCTTGAGCAAGCGTAGGGAAGGGGCTTATCTACAAGGCAGGTGTTCTGTGTATCTCTGGTTAGTAGCTGACTGCTTTCTCTGTGAACCGGTTTACTCCCCATTTCCCAAGGCCGTCTCTGGAACGGTTTGTCTCAGGAGCCCCATTTTTTTTATGGTGGCTCTTGGCTCCTTTCACTATCACTTTTGAATGCTAGACATGCTACTGTCATTTAAAGTATGATCATTTGATTTTCTGTTTATTTGGGTCACATGCTCTCTCCCTTTGCCAGTATCCTGAGCTGTTGTCAGACTCTCTCTTTAGCCCATCGTCTCTCTCTAAGCCTGAAGCCTGTCATTTCATCCTCTCTATCTCCCACTGAACACTACCCCTCCCTCACCCTGTAAGAACAATACCAGTTCAGAAAGGATTTCTCTTTCTTGGTCTCCTTCAGATTCCTGTTCCACCCTTCCCACAGCCTGCCCCCAAATATCTTGTTACAAGCCCTTGAAGAGACACCTTTGAAAATCAGTTGTGAGGCTGGTGCTGTGGTGTAAAGGGTAAAGCTGCTGCCTGCAGTGCCAGCATGCCATATGGGCGCCGGTTCGAGCTCCATTTTTGATCCAGCTCTCTGCTATGGCCTGGGAAAGCAGTAAAAGATGGCCCAAGTCCTTGGGCCCCTGCACTGGTGTGGGAGACCCGGAGGAGGCTCCTGGCTCCTGGCTTCCAATCGGCGCAGCTCCAGCTGTTACAGAGAACTGGGGAGTAAACCAGCAGATGCAGGACCTCTCTCTCTGCCTCTGCCTCTGCCTCTGCCTCTCTGTAACTCTGCCTTTCAAATAAATAAATCTTTGAAAAAAATCAGTTGCTGTTTGTTCATCACATGAATGCAATGGTGATATAAATGTCACTCAGTAGGAGATTTGTTAAAAAATGTATGATGATTTCACGAAAAAGAATTTCCTACAATTACCAAAAGTACAACTACTGCGACATGGAGGGTTGTTCATGACACATTTTTGCATGGGAAAAACAGAGCAGTCTGTTTAAGCATACAGATTTCAAATTGTCAGAGGCGGTTACCTCTATACAGTGGAATTAGCAATGATTTAATTTCATTGTTTTTCTTTCTTCTGATCTGCATTATGTGGTTTATGACAACTCTGTGTATGTGAGTGTGTGTGTTTAGAGAAATGAATATATATAAATATATACTTATACATATACATACACAGAAGGTACTTCAAAATGTTGTGGCAATAAGTTAAAAGATAAATTTATTTTGGCCCAAAAAAGTTTCAAAATCTATGCACGGTTTTTTTATAATACACATTTTCCTTTAACTTTTTGAGATACATATGTGAAATATATATATGTTTGAATTCTGTGTGTGTGTAAAATTAAGTTTTTTCTAAAATTTAAGTTTTGTAAGATAACAAGGACTCACTACCCACATCCTCACTACCACTTCCATTTCTCTTTAAATATAAGAATTATTTATTTGAGAGAGAGAAAGGCAGACAGACAGAATTTCCAATCATTGGTTCATTCCCCAGAAGCCTGCAACATCGGGGGCTGAGCCAGACAGAAGTTAGGAGTCAGGAACTCAGTTCAGTTCTTCCATGTTGGTGGCCAGAACTCAATCACTTGAGCCATCACTGCTGCCTCCCATGGTCTGCATGAGGAGGTAGCTGGACACAGGAGCCAGAGGCGGAAACTAAAAGACAGGTGCTCTGATATGGGCCACAGGCATTTTAACCAGTCAACCACTAGGCTAAAGAAGCAGAAGGAAATGTTTTTTATGAGTTCTCAACCACCAGAAGACAGAGGACAAATTGAAGCTGTCACTGGCTACATTTCTTCCCTCCCAATCACAGATTCGGCAGCATCCCAAACATACACTAGTATAGGCCCCGGAACCAAACATGGCCCCTCACCCTGCTGACAGAAGCAAGGCACAAGATCCCTAACTCTCAGACCTGGCTCTACACTGCACAGTGCCCTGTGCATGACTTCCAATATTTTCAGCCTTGGCTCAGAGTCGGTAATAAAGACCCCTGGCTGAGGCTAACTCTGCAGAGAACTTCCAGGGAAATTCATTGTGCAGCCATGATTCAAGGAGTCAGGGGAATGTTTAACCCATTTAAATAAACTTGCTATCTTCAATTCATTTGGCAGTGTCTTTGTATATAACATGGCAATGATTTCTAATTATTCTTATCTACTCAGTAAATGGCTTAACAACTAGAGCAACTTATTGCTGCCCATTTGTATTATGATTAGCATGAAGGCAATAAAACTGTGTCAATTAATGAAAATCCAGTAATTCAGATCGGGTACTACCCAGATTGACTGAGTTCAGTTTTATGGTAAAGATGGATCCACCAATTAATATCATCTGAAAATAATGCTTAGTACTTACGCATTAAATAAACAGACAGTATGCAGCCCCTACTCTATGTCAGGAACTGAGTGGGCCCTGGGAAAATGAACAGAGGTTTTACATTTTAAGGATCTCTCTGGCTGGTGCAGGGTGTAGGCAGGTGACAATTGCCTGCAAGGCAAGTAAGTACCATGATAGAAATTCTAGCTATCAAATTCTTTTTGCACCAAAATAAGCTTATCTTTTAATTCCACTTTCCATGAACATCTTGAGATCCTTTCTCTTGTGTGTTGAACATTCTCAGCCCACAACTTTCTTCCACATATTCACCTGCTTTTTGGATATCTCCACTTACATAATCCTCAAAAAAAAGACACCTTTTTTTTTTTTTTAAAGATTTACTTTATTTATTCGAAAGAGTTACAGAGAGAGGTAAAAACAGAGATAGAGAGGTCTTCCATCCACTGGTTCACTCCCCAAATGGCCACAATGGCCAGAGCTGAGCTGATCCAAAGCTAGGAGCCTGGGGCTTCTTCTGGGTCTCCCCTATGGGTGCAGGGACCTAAGGACTTGGGCCATCCTCTGTTGCTTTCCCAGGCACATTAGCAGGGAGCTGGATCGGAAGTGAAGCAGCCAGGACTTGAACCAGTGCCCAGATGGGATGCCTGCACTGCAGGCCAGGGCTTTAACCCACTGCACCATAGCACTGGCCCCAAAAGACACCATTTTTAAAATAGAAAGAAAGGTGGGTGTTTGGTGCAGTAGTTAAAACACTGCTTGGGACACCTGCATCCCATGAAGGAGTTCTTGGGTTTGAGTTCTGACTGTGTTGCCCACCCTAGCTTCCTGCTAATGTGCCCTTGAGGAGCAGCTGGTGGTGGCCGAATTACATGGGTCCCTGCCACTCGAGGAGGAGACGTGCATTGAGGTCTAAGCTTCTGGCTTTGGCCTGGCCCAGCCCTGGCTGTTTGCAGGCATTTGGGGAGTGAATTAGCAGATAAAAGATTTGTCTGTCTCTATCTCCTTGCCTTTCAAATAAATAAAATAATAACAAATAATTTAAAACAGAAAGAACTTAATGCTGCACAGGAAAGAGAAGCATTGAGAATTCATACAGAAGACTGGGAGGGAACCCAGAAGCAGGAAGCCACTATCACCCTAGGACGGAGGGACAAGGGTGTGTCCCTACAGCATAAGGCCTGGAGTTCCTGGAGGAGCCTGGGGGCCAACCTCTAGGAGTGCATGGGGGTGATTGGGAAGACGCTGCTTTAAATGCTGCCTGAGGTAGCAAGGTGTCTCAGTTTTTCTAAATACAGAAGACAAGCTGTGTATGAAGGAAGGACTTTAAAAAAAAAAGATTTATTTATTTACTTGAAAGTCAGAGTTACACAGAGAAAGGTCTTCCATCCGATGGTTCACTCCCCAGTTGGCCGCAATAGCCGGAGCTGCGCCGATCCAGAGCCAGGAGCCTCTTCCGGGTCTCCCACGTGGGTACAGGGACCTAAGGACTTCTACTGCTTTCCCAGGCCATAGCAGAGAGCCGGATTGGAAGAGGAGCAGCCGGGACTCCAACTGGCGCCCATATGGGATGCCGGCGCTCAGGCCAGGGCGTTAACCCGCTGCATCACAGCGCCGGCCCTGAAGGAAGGACTTTTATCAAGGCTCATGCTTTTGGAGGTTGCTAGGCAAGATCAGGTGAGCCCTGTTTTGTTTGGCATTCTGGTGAAAATGGCTATGGCAGAGTAAGTATTGAGGAAGGATCCCCAGAGACCCAGGAAGCAGAGACAGGGAGCTCCTCCTCTATGCCACTGGGCTCTCTCCTTACAAAGCCACCATGATATTTGATCATGGGGCCCCACCCTACAAACCGAATCCAATCCACTCACTTCCCAAAGGCCTCACTTTCAGGTACCATAACAAGGTTAAGTTGCCACCGTCAGTTCATTAACCATCAACATCAGACTTTGGGGACCAAGCCTTTAACACATGGGCCATGGAAGACGCCCAAACTAACATCCAGGCCACAGCACAAGGGAAGAGGAGTAATACCTGACTTTTTCTCTCCTCTTTTCCTCTAATCCCAGCCAGGGTCTCCCATCACCCAAACCAAGCCCAGAAGCTGGTAGCCCTCGGAGCCTGCCACTTGTAGCCAGCAAATTGGCACTGAGTGACCCATAACTAAACAGAAAATGGGTCAAACATGCCCAGGATTGAGGCAGGCATAAAAGTCATTCAAAAAGTTCAAATCTGAACTTTTCCTCTCCCTCAAAGCCAACTCCTATCCCTGACACCTCTTCATCCACCTCTGCTTCCTACTCCAAGGGTTGCTGCAAACAATTACCCAAGTCAGAGATTTGGAGATTTGGATGTAGTTTGTCTGCCAATGGTTCATGTGTTGCAACTTTGGTCCACAGAATGCTGATGTTGAAGTGGTGGAACCTTCAAGAGGTGGGGTCAAGTGGGAGGTGCAAAGATCATTGTAGGTGCTGCCCTTGGAAGAGGTTGACAGAGCCCAGGTGCTAAGCTTGTGGTGCAGCAGGTTAAGTCACCGCCTGCAATGCCAACATCCCACATGAGCCCTAGTTCGAGTCCTGGCAGCTCTGCTTTTGATTCAGCTCTCTGCTAATGCACCCCCTGGGAAATAAGAGGAAGATGGCCCAAGTGCTGGGGCCCCTACTACCCATGTGGAACTTGGATGGAGTTCTAGGCTCCCTGCTTCAGCCTGGCCCAGTCCCGACCATTGCATTCTTCTTAAAAAAAGAACATAGTTCT